GACACCTGCTGCCATTTGTCGCTAGTCACGGTAGTGGAGAGTTCGTTTTCCAAAAGGACAATGCGGCCAACCATGTGAGCAGGTACTATGGCATGGTTGGAGGAGAGAAATTTAGTCACTATGGATTGGCTCGCTTGTTTTCCGGATGTAAAAGAACATCTGGGGTATACTTGTCAGGGATATTTACAGTCAAAGACGGACTTTCTCAAATGTCGCGGACCTCCGGACAGCAATCAGCCAGGCATGGGTTCGTTTGGATCCACAGCTGCTGAACAAACTGGTCTTCGAGCTACATTACCAAACCGCAAATTTTGAAAAGCATTTCAAAAAATGGAGGACCAATTGATCATTGAAAGGCTGTTAGTAGTTTGTTTTCATAAGAAAGGTTCCGGGTTCTTGAAGTGTGTCTATACTTATGATACGGTCTGAAAACTGTTCGAGCGTTCCGAACAACCTTATATTTTTCAACATTGACAGATGAAGTTGTGAATTACGGTTTTCGTAGCCTTCTCGATTACCGGTATCAAAATGTTGCCATGGAAGTCTGTTCAAAATCCTTTCTGGACGTTGTGTCTATACCTTTATGATACGCACTGATATATCGCACCTGCCTACAGCTCCTATCTTGGTCTGTATCTGGAGAATCAAATCACCCATTTAGATAGCCTTGAATGCCGCAGCTCATTAATGCGGCAGATTACAGATCGCTTGCAAAATCGGTTATATAAAGTCGAAAGCGTGGCCATTTCAAAAGAAAAATTTGAGGAAGCTTCATCCTTTTAGCCTGCCAATAAGAAGCATGGATGTATTTGAATCGGTATTCGCGAAGTCGTATTGTATCAGTAATTCACCGCTGGTAGTAGCATTTAGATCAACTTATATTCCTGCAATCCAGCCTTCCCCATACCGGTTAACTACCGTGTATTGCTGAGGTGATGTGGAAGGAGAAAAAGAGTGCGAAACGGGGATGAGGAGCCTTATCACTTAATGCGGCACTTCGCTGATAACAGAGTATTCCCTAGCTAGATGACTCGACAGACATAGGCTCAGAGAGTGGGCGCGCTGCAGCTCTGGTAAGCTTCGTGGATTCGGTCCTGGCGCGAATGCTGAGTACTTCACTGCCCTTCCTCCATTTACCGCCGCGACTCAGAAATAACGCTTTACACGGAATTAGGGGATCCTCGAAATCATGGAAGTCCGATTCCATAGTACAGCTCCGTTCAACTCGAGTAATAACCTTGCACGTGCAACCGTTTCCGAAAAAAATAGGTGGATAGAAGACATTCAGGTTTTGTTAACCCTCTCGGGAACCCCAGGCATGCTACACTCGAAATAGCAGTAGCATGCGATTGCCCTGTTGCCTATACAGTGTTTTGGATGGTCAGTACAGTGACTTTAGATGTCGATCGCAAGTCACTATATATTAGGTCGATGCATTTCATTAAATTTTGACCAGTCAGCTCTGGAAACATGGAGGGCCCAGTTGGCGCAGTGTAGATCCAACGCATGATTTGCCATGATCACTTTGTCTCTATGCATGGAACATGTCCGAAAAGTTGCGATGGACTTCAAGTATATATTTACTGTTACTGAAACAGGGATAAATTTTGCACTTTCACCGGTCCACATTCCATGACACAAATTTCATTAATACCGTTTCTTGGCACAGAATTCTCAGAGAAACTGCAAACGATATCAGAATAAGGGATATGATGTTGACACTCAAATTACCCATCCGAGCGAATCATTTAATCTGGTTCCTATTAAAATTATCCGATCGACAAACAAGAGCGCTTAAAGACAAACTGTACGCTCGTTTCTGCGAATTTTGGTCTTTTCTATGTACGAGGTAAATCCTGGCCCGCAGTTGCAATAGCGTGCCACTTTCTGCGCTCAAAAGTGCGCAGGAATGGGGATGAAAGGTTTTTGTAACTGTTTGGGGTCTCTATACTCCGCCGGTGCTGTCGGTGTATGTTTCGCTACAGGATCTTAGTGGGACGCAAGTGTTGCACTGAGGATATCATGGGCAGAGTATGGAGACGACATTTGAGAGTCATTACACTCTAGCCCGTTCTGTTCACTTTTGTCCTGAGAAGTCAAAGTGCAGGACTTCGCGATCACGTTCAGATTGTAACACGGAAAGGGCCATGATCTGCGGACGGTCTGTACAGCCAGTCTAATGAGATTCATTTGTTCTTTTGCTGGGATAATTTTGGTTTAGAATCAAAGTTAGCACATGAATGCTGAGTTATCATCAAAAGTCTGACCCCACGCGGGATTCGAACCCCGCATCTCAAGCTTTATGGACGAGTGCGCAATCCGTATTCCCTCGGCTTGACGCTTTCATGGAAGCAGAGTAATAGAATCGCTTGAAGACATAATGCTACTGAGCACAATCCCTCACTCCCCTGTAGCTTTGCAATTTTTCTGAGAAAATTTGTAACTGCAAGCTGTACCAATAATTCATGTGTTCTGAAATGCGGACGTGTAAAATTGCAGAAATTATCGCTGTGTTTCAGGCACATTAAATAAGGTCCTGGAGGCAAAGTTCTTATTTGGAAGTGTTCCTCGCATAATAGCCAAGCGAATAAGCACATATCAATATAGCCCTCAACGCCTCTAGAACAGGGGAACATGACGGCTTTTGAAGGAGCTGACTAGCATTACATTAACCACTAACTGGGTGAGTCGCTCTGTATGCCCCTCCCTGAAATATTCTGGGGAGTAGTTGAGGAGATGATAGAAGAAGCATGCCATTTACAAATTCGGAAAACAATTCAAGCCCGAGGTATCTCCGGGGTGCAGAGTTACGACCAAAAGACGTGACTTCGGGCCAGACATCCCTCAACTCACGATAGATTCGCTTACTTCACGGCCGCTTTTCACTAGCCTGCCTTAATCTCGGGAGGCTAAAATGAATTAGTTTCTTAATTGTTTACCTAATCGATAAGAGGTCTGATCACCATAAAGAGGTTAACCTTGTGTTATGAGTGCCATACTCGTTGTCTGCTTTATAATACGCCCACGCAGCACGTTTGCATTAACACGTTGCACGTGGAGGGTAGCGCATTCGGAAGAAGTGTAGCACACGCAGAAACAAGGATATCCGGCGGATGTCGGGGATTATTTTAATAGACTAAGGAAAAGGCTCATTGTCGCTAAAACGTTATCGATCATAATCACGACGGTTTCGCTCAAATAGGTTAACTTCACTGAAAGAGATTCCTCGTAGATTGCGGATTTCTGTGTGATTTTCCAGGGATGGGGATTTTTCTAACTGGAAATCAGCTTCGGTGGGGGGGACAGTTCGGCGACGAGGGGCATTTTGCACTTTTGCTTCATCCCATCGACGTGCTGACCCATTTTGGAGCTATTTCATGAGGTTACAGGAGTAGAAAGGTTTTACCATGGCGGCTTGATGAGCCTGCTCCAGCTTCACAGAAGTTACAGGTTTCATCAGAGTGAAACCCTTCTCGCCAAACTGCGCTTCCCTCGCCATCACAAATGCGAGCTGTTTGCGAAAGTTTTGAGATCATGTCCACAGCTCACCGCCGGGGTATTCGTTACGTGTTGGAGTTTAATATGATGATGTTTTGAGGCTATGGCACCGAAGTCGTACGTCTGACATAATAAGATGGGGCATAGCATCGGGATGAGAGAAATGACGGTGTCAACACGACCTTTCACGAAAGCACTTCACATGGTAGTACCCCTTTCCGATCCTCTCATCCATCCTCCTTTTATCTTCCATCTTTTCTGGTTACCTTAGCAAGGAAACTGGCGTCGAGCGTGGGGGAAAGTAGAATCTACTTTGAGAATTATTTTCCAGGAACATTTACTGTCTGCATGTACTTTTGCGTCGGCGGAGCCACTATTGGTACCACAGAACGCGCTGATACGAGAAAATCTGCGAAAAGTCAACTGCCGAAAAATCCAGCCAATGTGCGACACCCGACGCTGTATGAGATTCTCCTCTCCCAGGGGTGAATAGACGTCCTGAGTGGCGGATGTCGGATTTGCACCACGGAGAATATGTGAGGTTGGCGGTTCGAATTCGCCGTGTCGAGTGTTTAAAGTGTTGGCCAGTTCATTGTTAGCGTACTGTAATCAGGGTATAGGCATGGGTGATGTTGGCGAAATGGTGATGTCATAGCGGAACAATCCGCCTTGCCTTCACAGCTATCGCTACCCACTTTCCTACAGGTGCCTCGAGTTGCCAACTTTTTCTTTCACTTTTTCTTATCAAAAAAATTTTCCGTAGAATGAGCGAGAGGGTAGGAAGACGGGGGGGGGGGGGAGTACATAGCCAGTGTGAGCCGGGAAAACTGGCGAAAGGGCACCGCGGGAAATTCCGGGAAAACGCGACAAATTACTCTCAAAACCACATACGACCCCCCCCTTCTAACAACAACGACCAAGTACGACCCCCCCCATGTGTGTCACACAACGATGTTCTTCCCTACTTGTAATAATCACCGTATCACTATCTACAAACAGATTAATCCCATGCAATTACAAATGTAAAAGGGAAACCAAAGAGACCGCTATGTTACCATCTAAAAAACGCTGTACAATTCATACAATGCTTTTCGTATCTTTTTGTAGTGCAACGAACAAAGCCGAGCATTGTCTGGAAGGCTGTATACAGGGAATTTCTCTAGGTTGTACGACAGCTATGATTTTTTCAGGGCCCACGTTGTTATCGATAACTGGCAGAGTACTTGCAATGGGAAATCTGGTTTGAGATCATAGTTGCAATAGAATAATTTATGGGTGGGGGCAACTGGATACAAATGAGAATCCCACGGTGCAAACTGAGCCACTAGTGAAGGGCGAAGCAAGAGGGATTGTCGAAAGAGCATTGAAGGAGCCGACTGTAGAGGAAGATCAAGTGTTGCGCGAAAAACCAAACAATGAAGGGCTGTAATACAAAAGCAGGAGAACCACTTCCATTGAGCGTCCTTCCTTACAAAAGGATATAAGTCATAAGTCGGGGTTTCTCACATCTCCACCACGCCTTTTCGAGGCGCAGTCCCCTTGATGGCCACCACACGAACACGGTACAGTTCAAATCGGAAACTGAACGTTAGTACGATCACTAGCTCCACTGCACATCCCAGAGATGGGGAAGGCGTGGTTGCATGGCTCATTTGAGCAAGGTTGCACTTCCATGGGCATTTCCATTTGACGAGAAACGATGTTTCTTTACCCTGCAATGGAAGCGCAGCCATGATCACGATTCCCCCAAATCAGGCAAACTTCTACCGAAAGCGCCAGTTGTCTGCCTTTTTCAGTGAAATTTGCACAGCCATGGGAAAACAACTGCTGCAATTTGCGTTCTATTCTTTCGGCAGCTCTTATAGGCGAACACGCTAATATGTTATGTATGACGTGTACTAAGCCGACAGTTAATGGTAAAGGTTGGAATGACGGTGAGCAGCGACAAACTTGAGGCTCTTGTGACTGGCTCGATCTGGCCCCCACCCCTCATAACGTTGAGGGAGTAACTGGGTCCGTACTGGAGAAAAGAAAGTTTGCTATGATGTACTCGGCATTTTTTAACAGACAATAGATTCGCGATAGCGCGTGACTGCCAAAACACCTACAGTCGTGGCGTCTGCGGATTATTTCGAATTCTGACAGTGAGGTTGCCCTTTTGAAGATAACCTTCAGACGGCATGTGAAAAAAAGGAAAAAGGGGAAACTGGTTGCTTGCTCAATGTAAACTGGTTGCTTGCTCGAAGTAATACATTTCGCGATTCTCTCTTTTGGTCAAACCTTGTATCTTTAGCACTCTTGTGTATTCAGGAGATAGATTGGTTCCGTAACTGCCGCTACTTAGTGCAGCAGGTAGCCAGGTTTTTAGGAACCGGTGCGCTTCTGTATCATGTTTTTTCCCGCTGGGGGGGACAACACAGGAGATTCCGATTGTTTCGTACTTGAAACATGATAGTCTCGATTAACTAAACTAGCTAGAAGAAGTTCGCAGTCTCATTAGAAAGGAAAAAATCTCGGAAAATTCTTGACTCCGGTGTCACGAGTACCAATGAGTCCCCAATTACGACCCCTTTCACCGTGAGGATGCAGAGTGTAACTCCTAGCGTTTTCAATGGGAACGCATCGTACCGTATATGTTTGACAGATTCCGCGAATTTGATTCTTCCTTTGGAGTGAACCCGCTCAGCCTCGATATCTAACAGACAGAACAGCCCAGATCGAGAACAGCCGTCCTTGCAAATCAACATCACAGGGTTCTTGCATTCAGTGCCGATGGCGCTTCGAATCTGAAAGTGAGATCACACGGAGGCGGAGGGAATGTAGCACATCTGAATATCCCCAACCTTGTCGTGGATAGCTAGAAATCCTCTTGGCGGTTCCGCATCAGCATTCCATCCCATGATACAGTACGCCTTCAGTTTTGTTTTATTTATAGCGAATTCGCGAACAACAAATCCTTCGCCTAAAAGAGGAAGTCTAGGAAATTGCGAAGGGTAGTGATCAACAATAGAAGCTTTTCGAACTTTCATCCCCTTTTTCGACGTTCACTGTTACTCCTCCATAGGTACCATTTTCTGCGAACAAGTACCTGAAAGATGGTGCTATTGCCAACATCAGCACGTCGTGGGCCGAAACCCTTTAAGGATCACCACCAAGCAGGGTCGTATATGCTCTGAGAAAAATGTTTTCGATTTGATAACTGCTGTTTACCAAGTTAAACGTGTGAGTGCTGATAGGCTACGGCATAAAAGCCGTTAAGCTGAGAGGGTAAGAG